GCAGACGGACATAGTTATATGGAAAGGACAGTTTTGTTAAGGTATTTAAAAATTCAACTAGATCTAAAAATAATAATGTTGAACCATCAAAATAATTATACATGACGTTAATACTGCAAAAAAGTTTGACATTCTAACAAGTAACTCCAGTGTCGTTATGAATTATTTTATCCAATAAAATTGTCTGCAGATTATGGCTAAATTTTTAGATACTTCAACAAAACCATTTTTTCAATATATACGCACTATAATTTTAAAGAGAATCGGAAAAAACCTAATTTTTCCAATTTTTCCGCACATTTCTTCGATTTTTTCCCCAAAGATAGAAAAATTCATTTTGGAAAAATTCACACGTGCTCGTAAAACCTATCGTTTGCTTCTCGGTTCTTTCCGTAAAGAAAATAATTGCGTATAGGATATACAACGGGATAAGTTAACAGAAATTTTGAAATTGTATAAAAGATCGAGGTCGCATAGTGTATTCAATAAAACATACAAAACATACATTATTGCACCATTAATGTAAGAATTAAAAATATAGAGTCTAAGCATCATGTTTATATGATAATAGTAGGTCTAAAAAGTAATTTGGACTTAAATTGAATTCGTAACAAAATGTTTGAAAAAAAATAAACTACAAAGAGACATTTCAGGAGTTCATTAGATTGGAATGTGACAAACTAGAGTTAAAAATATATCTACTTAAACTTTGCCATGTACTAAAGGAAAATTAGGTAAAAAGATTAGATATTATAAAAATAGAAGGATAACTAAAAATTTTCATAAAAATAATACTACATAATTTCATAGATCGCATTAATTTTATAAAGGAATTTAAAAATTACTATTATTATGTCTTTTACATATAGCAAAAACAGCAATTTTTCCAAAAAAACCAATTTTTCGGAAAAAAATCGAAATTTTTCCGGTTTTTTTCCAGCAATTTGAAAAAAGCGACTTTTTTAAAACTATAATACACACTAAGAAAAATCGTCTGGTTGGATTAAATAGTAATTCTGGTGGAAAATGGACTCATAAGAATTTTCTAGTTAAATTTAGTTATCTCAGCTAGATTTCTAGTTGAGATAACTAGAATTTTGATTGATATAGTTATTCTAGTAAACATAAAAATTCTAATAGATTTTACCAGAAATATTGTATCAACCAGAATTCCGATTATCTCAACTAGAATTCTAATAAATTTAACCAGAAAATTCTGATTCGTCCATTTTCAATCAGAAATTGTTTTCAATGCATCTACTCGTCTGTTCGAAACAATTGTGAAATAACTCAGCTAATTGTAAACAGAAACAAAAACGATTTAAAAATCATGGAGTCTCTCATACAGAGAGAGAGAGAGAGAAAGAGATTTAAAGATTTAAATGAGACTCAAACGAAACGAGCGAGCTTCACAGAAGAAAAAAAATATATCCGCGTGAGGTACAACTGGACGCACGCGAGCCACAGCCACGTGTTACGATAATTAAGCGGAGTAATCGATAACGCGACGAATCAATGGCACAACGTCTCGGTTGTAAACGGTCAGAAGGACGGACGTGATAGAGCCACAGAGATACACAGGATGACTGCATATATTATTCATTACCTCAGGCTAAGAACGTGGTTGACGGATCTCTTTATATCGCAGTTAGTTCATACCTACATAAAACGAGATTCTCCGCGACGTCGTCCTCGTTCTCCCCTGGCTTCTCCCGGTCACGACGCACCGAAGGGGAAAGAAACGGCGCGGATTCACGGCGACGAGTTTACGTGCCGGTCGCCCCGGGATGGCCACCAGGTCGATCGATCCTCTCGCGCTCGCGTTCGACTCGCGCGCGACGTAGCGTGCGCGCGGACGAGGTGGTTAGGTTAGGTCTCGCGCGCGGGGAGCGGCGGGCCGTCGAGCGAGTAACGACGACGACGCCGCTGGTGACGTCGTCGTCGTCGCCGCGGGACAATACGGACTGCGCGAACGGAAGCGTCTCGCGTTGCGTGGCCACGTCGTCCTCGTGTCTCCTGTCCGACGAAGCGGAATATCGACCGGCCGGTCGCGCGCGCCAAGGCGACGTGACCGGATATACCGCGGGTTAAAACGTGACAACGTGCGCGTACGCGCGTGTAATAATAAGTACCAATTTCCAATCTTAGGTCTGTTCTTTATTCCTGCGTCAGACTGCGCTAGAACTTTCTTTCTTTCTATCACCAAATGTCAAACGCGTAGAGTCCTCAAGACTTCGATCCAGTTTTTTCGAGTTTTGGCAACCTTGGTCTCATCGCGCGAAAGGTACCATCGAATGGGAAGAGACTGAATCTTGAACCTGAAGAAGCGAATTCAAATTTAATCAGAATTGTATCATAGGTCTCTTTTTTTATAACTCAAATAGTGAAACAGGTATGTTTGATATTTAGCTATATAAAGTGAGAAAAAATTTCTAATGCAGGAGTAAAAGCACAGATAAAATATTATACTTTCAATTCCAGAAGTACTATGTTAATTCAACTATAAAAAACAGATATGCTAATGGCTCCCTTTTTAAAGTGACAGGCGTTATAGCCAGAGCATGCATTAAAAAGCGCTATGGCACACAAAAGCCCTTCCCAGACAAGCGTGTCTAAAAAGTGCCGTAAAGACTGTCTTCTGGGACATACAAAGAGGTCTTCTAGACAATACGTATTGTCTGAGTTAAACAGTGAGACATAAGCAGTAAGCAATCAACAATTTGAATTTGTTACAGTCTACGTTACCGTCTTATGGTTCCTACTGTGATTGACCGGTTCACTTAATGCTTACGTCTTATTGTTTGAATTATTTCGCGTGCCATAGTTTACATGCGTCCGTTTTTTGTCGTACGATGAATTTTTCAAGCGTGTTAATCGGCTGCAAGACAGAGAGGATCTCGAACCTCTTTGTCCTATAGTCAACCGACAGGCTTGAAAAATTTGTCGTACAAAAACGGACGCATGTAATATTAGCCTAACGCGAGTACATATCGGAAGTTCGATCAGGCACCGTTGTCGAGAGCGGAGGCCGAAACACCATGGATTCTAACCTCGAAAGAGGCGTCTCTGCTCCTTTCTCTTTCTCTATCCCTCCTGACGACGACAGGAAGGATCCCGAAACCCCCGCTCGGGCACTCGGGCACTCGCGGTGACGGAACGGAGCAACGAAATTACACCTACCTACAGAGGGGAGAGGAAGGAGAGCGGACTATGGTGCCGCGAGTCTATAGGCCGTGACACGGCCGGCAAGTTACGGCGCGCATCCTCCTCGGAGCACCGGCGAACGCCGACTGTCCGCGTCGTCGTCGTCCCGCGCGCGTCGCCAGCATTCACGACGACGTCTACGAGCAGCCAGCTGAGTCGAGAACCGCCACCTCCACCACCACCACAGCCACTGCTGGCCGCCTCCGTGGCTGGCCCCGTCCCCCGTGTTCCGCGCTCGCTACCGGCGGCGAGTACGCGTTCGCGTCCACGTTCGTACCTCGATGGCACGATCCGGCACGATTACGACACACCCGACGCGAGCGGCGCGCCCGCATCCGGAATCACCGACGTTACACCAGTTCGAGCTGAAAAGCTCCCGGTTGTGCGCTGACCGAGAACACGCGCGAAATACTGTGCCGTATGCACGGGGAACGTCCCGCGTCGGTCGGTGAGAGTGAGGATCGAACGGAAAGGGGTAGACCGGAAAGGAGAGGAGGCGCGCCGACGAACCACGACGGTTGGCGATCGAGTCACTGTGCCGGCGTGGCGCCACTGTACGCGTACAGATGTACGTTGCTTGGTCGGTATAGCGCGTCGCTGTTTTACCGACGACCCTCGAAATTCTTGGAATTTCGCGCTACGGCGAGTTCGTTTGAATTATTCGAATTCTCGGATTCGATAATTTTATATAATTACGCAGAAACGTAACATCTTGTAATTTGATTTTTTTCTAAGAAATTAAATTTCTTCGTATTCATTAATATTTTTCAAGAAAAGATTATTAAATTATTGGCGATAATTAAATTCTTGGCGAAAGTTTTCCTGAGTTTTTCTTTTCATAAATTTTATAATTGTTCAGGGAATCGATTGTGAGAATTACAAAAGTGAGCAAATTCACTAGTTATTGACCAATTAAATTATGAATATTCTAGTAAATTTGCTCATTTTTGTGATTTTCACCTCATTTCGAGATACACAATCGACCCCCAGGATTTCTGAATAAATGGCTGCGTTCAGCAGAACGTTTGTTTTGCAACTGTTGGAAGTTTCCTTCGCGCTAATTGGATCATACTTTTAGATCTAGAAGAATGGTCCTATCTCAGCAGACAATCATAAAACTGTTGCAAAACTGTTGAATCTGCTGAACGCAGCCAATGATTTTTTAGAAAATTTCTCAGATTTTTTAATACAAATTTAGATCATTTTTTTAGAAGTGCCGAAAAAGTACATCTGGGAGTCGATTGTTTGTTATCTTCAAACGACGTGAAAATTACAAAAATAAGCGAATTTGTTAAGATATTTATAATTTTATTGGTCAACAATCAACATCTAGTAAATTTTTTCACTTTTGTCACTTTCATCTCGTTTCAAGACACATAATAATCGATCCCTTTTCTAAAATTCTTCATATATGTAAATACTCAAATATTCTAAGATAACTAAATGCTCTATCAAATGATATAATTGTAAAAAAAAAAAAACACTTATAGGATGCTAATGCTAAATAACGCTACGAACTTTTGTTCCGAACCATTAGATCATCCTTAATCTATTTAACTTATATTAAACTTAATTTATTTTTTATCCTTAGAGTAAGTTTTTATTCTAAAGAATAAATTAAACCGAGATAAAGTTATATAAATTTCCGATAATAAAACTAGACATAAACATATTATATTAATCAGTATATGAAGTGCTACTTCAACGAAAGATGATCCTTTAAGGATCATCGCTTGGAAATACGAGTAGTTCTTTTTGTTACGTACGGCTCTAACTTATCGCTGTCAGACATTATCGATCGATGTTTACGGCATCCCGCTGAACGCTCAACGACGCGTTATTACATCAGAAACGCTATGAAGCTGACGACATAAGCGCGCATGGATTGTGGCCAACGTCACACTGTTCGGAGCATACAGTATATATAAAGCGGGCCGGCAAATTGGCGTACAGTAGCGTATCGTATGGTAGTCTATGGGTGTCTTACGTGAAAGTGGTTTACAAAAAATAAGTTATACATCGTGAAAATAAAATTCGTAATCTATGAAAATTTATTTATTATTATATTTATAATTTATACTGACACTGAACGTCACAAAATTACCGTGCGATATCTCGCTTTTTCTTTTTCGAGAAGAAATATCTCGCGAGAGATTTCATTAATGATCAAGCATTTTTATCATATTCAATATATGATTGGCCAAGTTTTTACGGTTTATGACTTGCGATCATAAGGCTGCGTTCCATTTAACGCTCACAACGCTCGTGGAATCATTTCATCCTTGTCGTTTATCAAATGTTAAACAAGGACAAATGGTGCTCGCGAACGTTAAATGGAATGCAATCATTGTAGAGAGAGAGAAGAGAGAGAGAGAGAGAGAGAACAGGTTTTTAATTCTTTGCGATCCGTAATCCACTGGAGTCGCACGCACGTGGCATCAAAGGAAGCCGACATATTGCAAGATGTGCGGAATCTGGGCACTATTCGGGCTGGACAAGCAATCCATGACCTGCATCTGTGAGAACTTCGACAAAATTTCGCACCGCGGCCCGGAAGCATTTAAAATAGAATTCGACAACAGAGTCAAAGTACGTTTTTCGACCTCTCAAGTTTCGAACTCGTCATGCAAGTTCTTTCTGTTGATGTTTCTTTTTTTTTTTTGCAGAATGGATATCTGGGATTTCATCGATTGGCCATCGTCGATGGTCTCTATGGAATGCAGCCGATGAGAATTCATGAATATCCACATTTATTCCTCCTATGTAATGGAGAAATATACAACTGCGAGAGAGTAAATATGAAGCTTCTTTCTGCTATCTTTCTCGTGTTATTAGTAAAAATGTCCTGTTGCAGTTGCAGAAACAACATCAATTCGAATACTCTACTAATTGTGATGTGGAAGTAATTATGCATATGTATGCCTGTGCTGGTAACAATGTTGCTCAATCATTGGATGGTGTATTTGCATTTTGTCTGATGGATGTCTTAAAGAGGAGGATACTGATAGCTAGAGATCCATATGGCGTAAGACCTTTGTTCAGATTACATTCGGATGATGGACAATTGGGTATCTGTTCAGAGAGCAAGGTACATCGCGATAACAGATTATTTCTTTCCTGATTAATCCGTAATTGGAACATATGGATCCTAGTGATTTGTAATTGGAACAGTTTTCTAACTTTTAAATAATAGTTTGAAATAATTTTATGTTTTACAATCTTATTTTTCATAGTTTTGTTTTATTCATGTAGTAATTACAAAGTAAATCATTTTAAAACATATAATAATAATTTTCCACTTTTAAATTATAACGATTGATTTTTGGCTCGTAGCCCTTTTTCTTTATTGCGTTTTTTTAAATCATTTTAATTAAGAAAAAGATTCCATACAAACTGTTATTAGTAAGTTTTTGTTGATTACAAAAAATTGGAGTAGAAATAAATTGTACTTCATATTCAAAATCAGCATAAATAATACATAAGAATCGATCGAAATTATCCATTTAACAAAATCATTGTCAATCTGTGTTGTCATGCTATATTTATGCTAAGTTCAAGGATTACGATTTTTTTTATATTTTTTTTTTATAATTAAAAATTTTTAATCTTTTAAAACGAAATAATAACAAAAAACTTTAGTAGGATCCAACGATCCTGGGTTCCTTTTGCATAAAATATACTTTCCTGATTATGAAATTCCTTATTAATTAATTATATATATATATATATAGCATAATTATTTATAAGATAATGTTTTAGGGTCTGATGGCAATATCGAAACACATAGAAAGCAACTGGACAATAAAGCCATTTCCTCCAGGACATTATGAGGAATATGAAATTTTGCAAAATGGTCGAACTAAGCTTCTGGAGAGTCGCTGTTATTTCAAGCCCAGCGATAAACCTTCTTTCCTCCCATTTGTTCCTTGGAATGGTGAGATAAATTGATCGATATTCAGTTATCGTAAAATAAATTTATCATTAACACAAATTTACTAATTAATATGCATCATGTATATCGAAAATATACGAAAATTTTTATCTATTACAGTTTTGACTCCAAATGATGTTCATGGCAACATCCGAAAGCTGCTTTCAGCAGCCGTGGAGAAACGACTGATGGCCGATAGACGGATAGGATGTTTATTGTCAGGTGGATTAGATTCTAGCTTGGTTGCTGCTTTATTAGTAAAGCAAGCGAAGGAATGTAATTTAAAATACAAGATACAGAGCTTCGCGATAGGTATGGGTGACAGTCCAGATATCATCGCTGCTAGACAGGTTCGTGGAAGCTTTGGTACTTTGATTCTTTCTTTTTCATCGACAATCGCATGAAGGCTGAAATTTCTTATGTAAACAGGTTGCAGAATACATCGGAACTGAGCATCATGAAATTATCTTTACGCAGCAAGATGTAATCAATGTACTGGACAATGTCATATATTCTTTAGAAACATATGACATTACTACTATTCGTGCTTCAATTGGGTGAAGTACTTTATTTGAATATGCAATTTAGTTTCTAAACTTTAATATTATAAATTTGAAAGTTGTAGGAAGAGATAATTTTACATGTAATTCTTTCTTTCTTTTCTCACTTTTTTAGATTAAAAAAGATAATCTACTACAGTCTTAAATATAAAGCATCCTCAATTTATTTTTCGTTAAATATAGAAAACGTTTTGAGATATAGAACGTTTATGCTTTATAGAGGTGCTTTATACTTACGACCTAAGCTGTATAATAATGAAACTTGTTGTACATAATACTGCAATATTTTACTTATAGGATGTATCTCATTTCAAGATACATAAAACAAAATACCGAGACGACTGTGATCTTTAGTGGAGAAGGTGCGGATGAGTTGGCACAAGGCTACATTTACTTCAGAGATGCGCCTGACGCAATAAACGCACACAATGAATCTCTTAGATTGTTACAAGACATATATTTATATGATGGTTTGAGAGCAGATAGAACAACCAGTGCCTTCAGTTTGGAACTCAGAGTTCCGTTTTTAGATCTTCAGTTCACGAACTATTATTTGTCGTTGGAGCCTGGTAGTAGACAACCACAAGGTAGAAGATTCAATGGATTTAAACATTAAGCCTATTCTTTTTAGCTGAACTTCTTATATTCATCTTTTCTCTTTTTTTTCAAAACTGAACCATCCAAGAAGTTCAGCTGAAAAGAATAGATTTATTGTTACAAATGATAAATATTACAAATTAAATTATTTATTAGTGTATAAATGAAAATTTTGGTAAATAATACTGATAAATATTATTTGATATTTATGTGCACAGATGGAATTGAAAAGCATTTGTTAAGATCTGCGTTTGATAGAACTGGTTTACTGCCTAACAATATACTTTGGAGGCATAAAGAGGCATTCAGTGACGGCGTTGCTTCCATAAAGAAATCTCTTTTCCAAATAATCCAAGAAATCGTAGAAGATCGTGTTTCAAACGAGGACTTGGAGAACGCTTATACCAAGTATCCTCATTGCACTCCAAGAACGAAGGAAGCGTACTACTACAGGTAATAAAATAGAAATACCTTTCCAGTAAGCAAACTTTCCCGTCATTCGACTGAACTGGATGATGCATTATTCTTTTTACTTTTGTTAGAAATGTCTTCGAGTCGCATTATGAGGGACAAGCGGAAAGTTTTACACCTTACTTCTGGATGCCACGTTGGGTAAAAGGCGTTATCGATCCGTCTGCACGATTTATTAAACATTATGCTGCAAACGAAGAAAGTCGGCTTACAACGACTTAAGGAATAAAGATTAAGAATGTGCATGATGTATGTATACTATGATGATTTTAATATGAAATTAAAATGTTAATGAAAATGTTTTTGTGGAATATATTCTCACTTCGTGCATCTGCGATTAGATAAAGTAATTGTAAAATTGTAAAATATAACTTTATGCAAGCAAGATATTTATATATCATGGTTGCTCTGATATATTGAAGATTTACCTTCTCTGCAATTATTATCATATTATATATTATAATATCATTATTATTATTATATTTAATAATTATTACAATGCTAAGATTTGAGAATCTTTAAGAAAGTTTCCTGCATTTTAATAAGATTTTAATGAGATCTCTTTTTATAATTTTTTATAACTAGTATACATTTTTTGTATTTAAAGATGTATTACAAGTACTTTTTAACAAAATGACAAAAATTACAGATTTTTCTATATTAAGTATATTTGAAAATAATACAAAAGTCTAGTGATGATTTAGGATTTGGATAAAAAATTATTTCAATATAAGAAGTAAATATGTTTTTAAAAAGTAATTAATATAAAATAACATTTTTTTTATTTACGCTATAAAATTATATTATTAATATACAAATATAAATATTGACTAATAACGTCGCCTGACATCATCGAGGATACATGTTCTCTCCAATAGTATCATGGCTTACTTATTATATATAACTTAATTAAATTTGCGTTTTCTCGGCGTCTGACTTACATCATTACGACAAATCAAGATTGTAGAACTTTGAAAAATGAGATGAGATGGCCTTTATGATGTTTTTACATATGGACCACATATAGCAAACACTAAATAACCGGCGTTTTTATTGGACATTACAATGTGACCGAATATTCTGATAATTTATGTATTGCTTGTTGTTTACATTGAAAATGACTCGATCGGTGTCGAAACGTTAGTAGTCTATATGAAAGATTATTAAATATTCTTTATTTTGTAACTGGCTCGTAACCCTATTTTTATTTATTGATAAATATTGACCTTAATGAATTTTTTTATATGTATTTTTTGTACAGAAAATATAAGTTTCCAATTCCAATCACTTTTTGCACAAATATATACTTGATACATCTGATCGTTAATAAAATAGATATACGTTTGAAATTTGGTGAAAACAAATTTTGAAAGGGAATTAATTGTAATGTGGCAATAAAAAATAAATCTGTTTTTTTTTAAAGAAAAAAAAGCGGAATCGTAAAAAGCAATTATACCCCTGGTGGGACTCGAACCCACAATCCCCGGTTTAGGAGACCGATGCCTTATCCATTAGGCCACAGGGGCTATTGACGTTCACTTCTTTCTACAAGAGTACATATCGTCAACATTCTGTTTTCATGGAAAACAATAAATTCAGAGAGAAGAAGATATGTGCGTGTTATTTAGAGATCGAGTCATATGAGAAATAGAGAGACAACGAATTTTTCTCTTCGTTATTACATATGTTCGTTGACGAAAAGAATAATATACAAAGGAATAGAACTAAATCGACCAATCGCAATCGAGATTCTTCAAGACATGTGCGTTCCATGTTCCATATTCCAATTCATTATGTTCCAGTTAAAATCTCTTTTTATTAATATCAATTTTCAAGCTCGAAATTGCTAAGCAATATAATAAGTAATAGAGAGATCAGAAACGAAGCAAGAAATAAAAACTAGTTTATTAAACTTCAAAATTAATGGAGGATTAAAAAAAAAACTAATTTTTTAATGATAATCAATATAAAAACGTTTCGACTTTTTTTTATTTACATAATAGAAGGTAATTATGCCGATGAGGGGAGCCAGCCGGCTGAAATAATTGCTAACTTTAATTGTAAATAACTTTTTAACGAATGACGAGCGACGGCTAAAACTTGTTGGAGGTCACTCAGGGTCATGACCTTGACAACATATGTCAAGGTCAAGGTCATCGGGGCTGGCTCCCCTCATCGGTATAATTACCGACCAAACAAACATGTTCCAGGTTTCACTGTTCCAATTGATAGCTGCAGTTGATTTTCCAACGCATTGGCGAATGGTCTTTCGCCCTTTAACTTCCGTTTAAAGATTATCATCGCTTGTTGTTGTTCAGTAGAGATTTATTTTCGAATGAACTGTGGTGATTAAGTGGCGCAATTTATATAGCACGAGCAATTTTACATTTTTCTTGTACGCAGTACAACGTGCGTATGATAAGGTTAGGTTGGTTCTAAAACGATGAATATGATCTGTACGCGCGCTACTGGATTGCTTTCCAGATACCTATATCGCGGGGCTCAGCGTTGTTTAAGTAGCGGTAATTATACGATTGTTGTATAAATCATTAAGAAATGCCTGCTTGAAAGATGAAACCTGACTTACCCAGATAGATGTGTTTCAGCAAAATCATACAAATCTGTGATCGCTTATGATGCTAGCAACTTGCCATAGATTTGTCTTCAACGATTTCGATATTGTAGCAGCATGCAGACAACAATGTATATATGTATTACCAGTAGTTTAACAGCAAGATAGCTGTCAATGTTATCTTGCGTTGTCGACAATAGGCCTGTTCTTTTTGGCTAAACTTTTGCACTAGTTCATCTTTCTTCTTCTTTTCTCCTAAAGAGAAAAGGAAGAAAGATGAAGTGGTGCAAAAGTTCAGCCAAAAAGAACAGGCCTAATATGACAGCATTATATGATGCTGCATATTATTATAGCAACATGATGGTGATAGTACGAATTTTGACGATTTTGAAGTTGCTGGCAAGTTGCTACTCAATGTTATCATATCGTGAAGGCATCAAGTTGCCAACAAATGAGGATTCAGTTGCTGCAATTCTGATAGCAACACATACTTAGCAATGCATACTTAGCAAGCAACATGCCAGCAACAAGACAGACACGTTGCTATCTGGGTATTTTACATATCTATCAGCTTTATCTTAAAACTTTTTTAACGATAATCAATATAAGAGGAGAGAGAGAGAACGTTTCAACTTTTTTTATTTACATAATAGAATTTTCCTAGAATTTTCTTTTTTGCTTTCATCAAATTTCAAACATATATTTATTTCATTTTAAGTACAGACCAAACAAACATGTTCCAGGTTTCATTTCTTTATCTGGTTTTTCATATTGGTTAACTTGTGGGATTGATAAAGAGTAAATTAAAGAGAGATTAAAATTATTCTACATTGGTGGAAATGAGCCTTATTGTTCGATGAAACTCTGATTAATTTGTTAAACAGTATTTATAATATTTTATTAATATACAATATATATATATATGGAATTAATTCTTAATAATTAAAATATTGAATGTCGAATCTAAGTTGTTTGTATTTTGATCAATGCCAGAGTGAAATTTTCACTTACCAGTTTAGTTGAAGTTACTCTGACTATTCTATTTTGTGTAGACCATGCGATTTGGACACCGACAAAAACACAAAACAAAATTACAAATGAGAATCACATTGTCTGGCTTGATATGGAGGTGCGCAAATTATATCTAACAGCGCAAAAAAAGAAGAAAAAAAACTTTAAAGTTGAAACTGGATTTTTCAGATGACAGGACTAGAGGTGGAAACATGTCATATCATGGAAGTTGCATGCTTCACAACTGATGAACAGTTAGAACTTGCAAGTGATTACTTAAACATCATTATACATCAATCGGATAACGTTTTAGAGAATATGTCTGATTGGTGTAAAGTACAACACAAAAAGGTAAGTTTTTTTTTTCTTGAAAAATCTCTTGTTTTTTTGTATAGTAATATGATTATTAATTGTTATTAAAATTAATTTTAGAGCGGGTTAATCGATGAATGTCGATTGAGTAAGACTACATTGGAGGAAGCGCAACAAAGGACATTGAATTTTTTGGAGAATCATGTTCCGAAAGGAATTTGCCCCTTGGCTGGAAACTCAGTTTATATGGATCGCTTATTCCTGAAGAAATATATGCCGTTGGTCGACAATTACTTGCACTACAGGATTATCGATATTAGTACAATTAAAGATTTGGCTAGGTAAATTTAGATAATCGAAATCAGCGCGCAGACTATAAAAGCTAAAAAATATATTTGCAAATTTGTGTATAAGAACATTATCAAGATCTGATTTGAAAAAAGGAAACTGTCTTCTATTTGATTTATTCTTACTGGTCTAAATTTTCCACTATAAGTTTAAATAAATCATAATTTGCATATTAATATACATTTTTTTTTGTAAAATTGAAAACAGGATATATATATATATTTTTTAAATACAAATTTTTCTGTTTAGGAGATGGCAACCAAGTATAAGTAAAGCAGCTCCAAAAAAGCAACACTGTCACAGGGCCGAGCACGACATAAAAGATAGTCTAAATGAGCTTCGTTATTATAGGAAAAATTTATTTGTATCATAAATTTAAAATAAAAATGGATTGTTAATTTTCTCATCATTGTCACAATTATAAACAATTTGCATTTAACGACTACTTGTACATCAAGTCGCGATATGCGAAGAAACAAATACAAAAAAAGAAATTTTTTCATTTCTTTGCAATTTTTGAGAAAATACTATGAAAAGAACATGTGTGTGAATTTATCAGAATATCTTTTTAGAGAAAAAAATACCTCAACCAGAAAAACAGACTCATAGACTACGCATCTCTCTCAGTGTATATATTTTATAATTTCAGTATTATATGTACATACACAGATATATGTAGTATATATTAATTATTTTAATTTGAACCATGTAATAAATAAATTTTAAATATGAATCAGTCAACAAAATTTTAAATTATAATTAAATAAATTTTAAGTAATGTAACTAAATAATCATTTAAAGTGATACACATAAATACGTGTATTATCCCAAAAACTAACAGAAAGATTCGTATCGGATTTTAGATAGATCATCTAAATCTCGTGGAAAAAAGGTATCTCGACCAGACAAACACACAGACACGCCGTCAGTGTATGTGTGTATATACCTTTCTCTCTCTCTCTCTCTCGGTTGTAGATCCATGTAGGTCAGTGCGGTGTTGATCAGCGTGGATGCATTGGGGTGCGGCGCAGGGCGCGCGAACGTCAGTCGACGTCGGTGACTGTTCGGGGGACTGACTGACTGGAGTCGCGATCGGGAGTGATCGAGAATGCTCGCAGCTGGCTGTCGTACGAGAGAGCGAAAGGGTGATGGCGAGTAGCGATGGTAGTGCTGGGTGACGGTGTTGACGACCGCCGCGGATTTTTTTTTACGAATGGCTCTGTCCGAGGTGCATAATCTGGCCGCGATTATCGGCGGTAATGCTTTCGCCGTTGGCAATAAGGTGAGGAGACGTTTTCTCTCTCTCTTAACACGTACACCTACATGAAAAATCGGGGGGGGGGAGGGATTTTTCCTCGCTAGCAGTTATACTTCGCCGACGGTTCTTTTCAGTCTAGTTGCACCGCGTTTACACTCTCTACACTCGTAATGACATAAGCATGTATACTTGGGCGTCGCGGAGGGAAGAGGAAGAGAAGAGGTTGCATCGAAATTGCGGATAGAAAGAACGGACCCGTCGTTGCCGCAAGCCCGACAAGGAAGGCGAAAGGGTGCGATCCGCGTTTGTTTGTACCCGTACATTACCGTTAATAATAACCGGAAACTACGAGAGAGAACGCCTGCGCGGGGGGGGGGGAGAGGGTGAGGATCCGTCTCGCTCGCGTATCTTATTTCCGCGGGTGGTGCAAATGGTGACGATATTCGCCCGCGTCTGTCCTCGCTCTGCCGATCACCGAAGATACTCTCGCGCGTATTATTGGATCTGCCCTCGGTGTGCTCGTCGGTGCCTGTCCCGTCGTGTGCCTGTCCGTCGTGTGTCTGTGTGTGCCTGCGCGCGCGCGTATGTATGTGTGCGTTTTTGCGCGCCTGTGCGCGGCCCCGATCGTGACAGCGATAGCCTCGACGTCGCTCTCCCGCCTTCGATTCGTTATTAAGATTCCATCGTCATCGCGGCTCGCCGCGACGTAGTCGCGTAACATTCCCGAGCCGCCCTCGAGTCGCGCCGTTCGAAAACAATCGATAGATTCTCTTTCTCTCTTTCTCCGCCGCCGCGCGAGACTCGTCCCCGCTGGCCTCTCGAGAACGTGTGTGTGTGTGTGTGTGTGTGTGTGTGTGTGTGTATGTGTGTATATGTATGTGTACGTGTGTGTGTGAATCGAGTACGGTTGGGCAAAGGGCAGCGCGAGATCTCCCCGCGAGAGTCACGGTCGCCCCGTTTAATCGTCCCGCACGTCGTCATCGCGGCGCGTGCCTCGAATATGAGATCTCACGACGATGACTTGCTTTCCGTAGAATAACGAGACCGAGCGCGGTGCCAATATGCTGGAAGTACCACGGAAGGTTTACTCTAGGGACGTGCACGGCGTGGAGTACAATCATTGGAGCTATGACTTAACGGGTTGTGGCACGAAAAGAAACGTAAGTGATAGGTTCTTCTTATTGCTGGGCTGCAATAGAATTTTTTTTTTGCTTTCGCTAAATATTGAGTATATATCTGTTTCGCATTAGGCTTGTTTTTAGCTGAACCTCTTGCACAGTCTATCTCTTCTTTTTCTTTTCATGTTGAGGAAAAAAAGAAAGATGAACTGTGCAAGAAGTTCATCTGAAAAGGGTAGAATGTATACTAGTTTAATTATAAAATACAGACCTAAGATGTTAGATTAATTTTTTATTCCTATACTAGAAGTTCTCGCTTTCATCAAATTTCAAATGTAAAGTACACATTTAAAATTTAATGAAAGCAAGAAGGGAGATTCTAGTACAGTCTCTATATATAGTGCAAGAATAAAGAACAAAACTTTCGAGTAGTATATACCAGTTTAATTTTAAAATACAGTCCTAATATCTTAGGTTCGTTTTTATTTCTGCACTAAAAGTTTTCTTCTTGCTTTTATTAAATTTCAAAGATATATCTATGTATTTTACTCTTCTATTTTTATAACTGGACCAGTATATACTTAAAGTGAAATAGATATTTTAAATTTGATGAAAGTAAAAAAAGAAAATTTTAATGAAAAAGTAAAAATCAAATCTTTTAAGTACAAAAAGTATATAGTTAAGTTATAAAAAATAGACCTAAGATTTTGTGTGCAATTACACCCATCGCACAGTAACGTATACAACCAGGTTTATTTTTTATTATTGCACTAAACTGTCTTAGAAGTTTCTTTCTAGCTATCATCAAACTTCAAGCACGTACCTATTTCACTTCAAGTACAAAAAGTGTTTACTATGGATGCTTCTCAGTAAGGATCGCAGATGACACAGGGTATCATAAAATAACTCACTGTTGGTGCTTTCCATTTAGTAACACAAGTTAACATCATCCTATTTTTATTGATATCTATGTAACAAAGACAGAACACACTTGTGTCAACTTGTATCATCAAATGGAAAGCACCAACAGTGAGTCACTTTATCTCTGTGCTAATATTAGCAAATAACAAGGATGTAATAATTCACTCTGTTATACTGTATCATCTATGTCTCTTGCCGGAAAACACCTTGGTTTAACTGTAAAAACAGACCTAACATCTAACGGATTATTAATATCATGCATTCAATTGCGGTTTGTTTAGATGAATATCGAAGACGAGGATAGTCAAGACTTAAACAATCCCATGGTCAACGACTTGGTATCAAAGATTCTCGATGAAGATTCTATTACCATTGACACCTGTCACAATAATTACAACAGCGGAAGTACTCATTATCAGACGGACTACGCCAATTCTTGCTCCAATCAGGTCGCTGACGGTTTGGACTACCTGACTGATGTCGATCACTTGGTCACTCGTTATCCGCTGTCCAGCAAATTACACAACATTCACAACAACGTCAAGAGCGAGTACCGTCATTCCAACAATCTCTGCAACGACCTGAAAACACTGAATCTCAGTACCTGCGTGCGACAGTCCGTGGAGCAGAGCAATGCGTGCAGCAACGATATCATGCCGAGCGCATATTCGTCTGACCCACGATCGGTGCACGTTGTACACTCCAACGACGGTGGCATGTACACGAGTGGGAGCAGCATGCCGTTGTGCAATGATCTGTTAACGACTACGAGTGGAGTAAATTACAGTAAACAGTCGAGCAACTGGACGGAACCCCTCCAGTTGACTCCATCGATGGGATGCCGAGCTGAACTGACCGGGAACTACTCACGAATCTCAAATTGCGCTAAACCGGATCTTAATTTTAACGTCACCGCGTTAACCCTGGCTCTAGATTCACCGAACTCGGTTCCCATCAGCGAGTACGAGTATCACAACAGCGTGAGGCAGAACGCATCATCGAATTCTTACAGTAATTCTATGGTCAACATGCACGACATGTACGGCGTTACCGGTAACCCTAGTCAGGGTCCCGGCTACAGGCCCAACTCAGCGATGACCGATCTGAGCGTTGATTCCGGCTTCTTGTCGAACTCACCGTTACAACATTTCTCACCCGCCGATACGGCTTTGCACACCTGTTTCGGAAGTGGTATGCAACGCAACGGCATCGGCGACTTCAAGGATGTTCATGATACCGCTAGATTAAATATGACGAGTATCAACATACCTAACGAGCAGATTCAGTTCTTGCAGCAGTCGCAAGCACGTAGCTACAAACTGGATCAAGCAGTGGACCAAGATTACAAAAACTTAATCGATTATTATCCTCCCGGTACAAACAGCTTCGTCACATCCTCGGCGAGTAACTTAGACACGAACGAGAACGTTTGTTTCCCTAGTGACTGTAGAATCGATAATAGCCTGTTAAAGATGATCAATCCAAAATCAAAGTCCATTGAAACCAAGACGTATTCACCCATAGGTTTTCCAAAAAATCTGAGTTCGCGCAACTTGTATCAGCCTATTGCTAAATACGGCTGTCACAATTATCAACAGTACACTGCCAACAGTGGCGACACTTTGAAGATAATGCAGCAAAATTCCACGTTTTATCACAACGATTTAAAGCAGCCTAAAGTCAACGCGTACAAATTGGACGGATTTGACTTGACTAAAGAGATCGCGTACCCCTCAGGAAGTCACTTGACCGACCGTGTCACTGGATCCACCCTGGACAAGGATGCCTTTAATCATATTTTGAAACAACGACACCATATATCGAAAATGCAGAGCATTCCAGCTGGGATTCCGCCTCCTGATATCATTTTTAACTCGGGGATGATGTCGAGCACAAATACCGTGAGATCGGGAGCGTTTCCATCGGTGATGCCAGTTCCTGTTCCTGTACCGGTTCATCCTGTGCCACGACTGTTCTCCGCTCTTTACGGGGGAAACTTGAGCTTTAGAAATGGCAGCGGTGCGGCCAGGAAGACAGGACCCTCAAGTATATTGCATTTTAATCTTGAACAAACATACGAACAATTCAAGCAGTTGGAAAAGGAGCGTAAGAAATGCGAAGCTGGATTGGCCGCACATTTCCCAGGGAAACGAGTAACCAGCGCGAATAACATACCCATCCCACGTCTTCAGGGAAATCCGTCGAGGGTGGATCGTTTAATAATCGATTACTTGAGGGAACACGCTCGTGTCATTACCTTAATAGCAAAGGTGAATAGATAATGTCGTATATGTGAGGACCTTTTTTTCCTGTAAATAGTAAAATAATTATTTATAATTTTTTTCTTTATATGTTATGCAACATATAAAATATATTTTTATTTATTTATTTAATCCTTGCCTTTTTCAGCTCAGGATGAACTTCTAGTTCACATTTTCTCTATATTTACATTTCAGTTTTGCCTTCCTACTTAGCATCTTATTTCTTTGTACTTTCGTTTTTCCTTATCTAAAGTTTCTATACATAATATATAATTTATTAAATATGTACTAAACTTTGTGAAATAGATGGAACGCTTACGCGGGACCACGATGAATCAACGCGTGCACAAAGCCATGGAATATTGGCTGGAAGCTATCAAATACGTTCAAGAGTGCCGCAAGCAAGAGATCACAAATGCTATCAAACGTCAGAAAGAGAATCCACATTGCATTTTAGCGTATGACGACAATGGTGAGTGTTACAGTTGACCAAAGACTCTTAATAAATATTTTTAGAAAAAATGCGTTACCACTCGTATTGATGATTAATCTGTGAAAGTGGACTGCTCTCGAGCGATTAATTTATCTTTTGAACAAATCCTCGAGAAATCTATCGATCTTTATCTTTATTGCGAAGTGATAAAAAAGTAAATAATAAAACAATTTTAAGAGTTTTCTAAGCGTCCACAGATTTAAATTTTGGAGCTAACTCCTTAAAACTTGGAATTACAGTTACAATTTCAAAATTTTTTAAAAATCTGCTTTAAAAGTAACAATATTATTTCTTAATATATTTATAACTCTTCAGGGAAGAAAGCAATTCTGTACACTGAAAGAAAAGTGTTTGATATTTATGATTATAATTACATGTCATCATAATCCCAAAAATTTCTCTTAGTATAAAATCTTTTTATTTAATTTGAAATAAAGTAGAACAAAAATCATTTTAAAAATCATCTCACAATCAATTGTTAAAAATCACCTAATTTGAGTACGCAGTAATAAAATATTTGATTTTGCATATTTAATATCCTATATCGGAACTTATAATATTTTTAATATTATATGTGTGCGTGTGTGTAGATATTCTGACTTTGGCTGGAAGCGTTCACGAATTGACGAAGGCATCGCGTTACGCGCGGACCGGTATGTATAACGCTCTTCAAGCCACACTACTTTATGACTTGGACATAGAGAAGAAAGTCGTCGCGACTTCTAAGGATCCAGTCTTAGAGGCAAAAATCGATGGCGAAAGACAAACGAAAGACGGAACCAACGATTACACAAGCAATACCTAGCAAACTTGCGCTGAATCCACTTGGTATCGCTCATCTTAAAGTACGAGAGAGTCCAGCAGCTTTTTACTTACGTACTACGTATTACGTTTTTGAAAAGCTTTTGCTGGTGTTTACGATTAATTTTACTGTTGAAACAAAATGCCGCCCATTAAATTCAAAACTTTCACTCGCGATTCACACGAGGTAAATACACACGAATGAACTAAAAGCGTTGAAACAGACATTTGGAAACGCGTGCGACTTTTTACAGGTTATTAATAACTCCATAGTTTTCTACCATACGTATTTTAATGCTTACGACAGTGTGTAATCGACTTAGCTTTTCGAGAACACCGATTTAGATACGAGAGAGTTTCGCTGAACTGCCTATCCTTTATCGGTTTATCTCTGTCGCGTGTCAAACAAAACAAAAATATATATATATCGCTTTTTCCTCGACGCCAAATGGAAATAAACCGAGAGCAGTGTCGATCGTGTTTGAACCGGTGAGCAGCTGCTAGCTTTGAAATCGTTGACGACTCGTAACTCGCAACAAGAACGAGATTGCTCAGATGTATTACATCCTTTAGAGATATGATAGAAGAAGTCGTTCTTTGTACAATTACTCGTTTATATATACGTATCCTAAGTTAAACGAGATATAGATAGGCAGAGAACGCCGATGTACTCGTTCAAAAATGTTCGGCAGTAACTCGTTAGATTAGCTCAATGTGGCCTTCCTTGAATGTGACCCATAATGTGGTAGTAGATGTTCCAGGATTTGAATATTTCTCGCGAAGTGTAAGTGCGATATTTAATCGCATGCAACACGAGCTTATATATATGTGGCTTTTATATATATTACGTATATAAAAGCTTCAATATATATATGTATATTAAAATGTTGTTTACATAGTACTAATGTCAGACTTTTCACTACTGATATCGCTCCGGATGTATTCTCACTTTACGAATACAAAAAAAAAAGAAAGATACATATATACGACACGCATATACGCGAAGTAATCGTCTACATTACATTTCCACAGGTATACGCACAATAACATCAAGCTACACCCGCACATAATACATTTGCACAGTATATACATACGTAAATATGTATATGTGCGTATATCACGCGTATATACACATATACATAATATTATTTTATGTCGTTGCTGTGTGTTGCTGTTCCTGCTTCACAAAAAATCACTTATTGTTACTTCTATATCAGAGAGCGGAGCGACGAACGTATCGCGATAAAATCGCGAACACACCGATCGCGTACTTGTGTAACAGATGCTAATTAGTACCTAAAGTTTCTATTATCTGGCATTTAATTACGCGAAAGGATAACCGAGGTTAATAAACCTTTGCGCGCGTGCTTTGATCTCTTCGTGACAATCGTGTCGCATGTTACTGTAAACTGTAAAGAGCTCAAATTGTTTTAAATTTACCTCTCCAGAATGTGAATCTAAAACAATTTTGAAATAAGCTTACCATGGAACGCAATCCTTCTTAATCGACCACATAATCCGTACGGTTGTTCAGTTTTTCGTCTATTTCTCTTTTTCAAAATGTGTGAACACGAAGATTCACGCGTGTTTTACGAACGTCCGAATATAAAGTCTAGCGTAATACCGCACATTGCGTGTTAAGAGCATTAACAATACAGCATAGATATGTGTTTGACAATCCCTTTTAAACTGCATGCGATATTATTGCGAACTTATGCATGCGCATGCACACGCATGTACGCAATCGTGCGCATACAAACGCGTATATATGTCAATATTTTGAAACTAGAATAATCAAGCACTGTGGCTGTGAAGTGGAAACAGGACAATGTTGTACAATGTGGTGATCATTACGAAAGCTAGAATTGAAAGGCTCAGATTAAAAAGAATTAATTGACAGGATTAAGTGTGAAATTGCTTTTTGAAAAGATTTTTACAAATTTACGACGAGACTTACCGAAGCTCTTGAATTGATGTTTAGTAAAACAATGACGATTTTAAACTCAGTTTCGATTACTGATAGTCTCAGAGATTTTACGTGGCGTTTTAATTATTACAAATTAATGTAGAGGCCATTTTCGGCTAAGATCAAAATTTTAGTTCAAGTTAAATTTATATTACATACATCATCATACGGTTTTTAACACTAGAGTTAAAAATCTCTTCATTGTATTATAAACTCAGATAAAATGTATTCTTCTGAGCCTTCATAATATTGATTATTCTCGTTTCAGGTGAATACAATGTATTATATATATAAACGGCTGTTTTTTGACCAATTTATATTTCTATTATTTTTATTTTAAACAGATTTTTCTTAATTGGAATAACGTCCACCGTTGATTTCAATATATTCTTTTTTTTTTATTTGAGAAATCTTGCATCGATATGACAATTGCATTGAAAAGTTATCCCATTCTGGAAAGTGTCAAACATGATCTTAGCTAGCCAGCTAACATTCCTGAAAGAAAACGCTGTTCGTCAAAGACGCCTTGCGTATTGTATGCACACGTATATGTATCCGTGTTTGTCGCAGCGAAGCAGTATAAGTGCGCCGCGTCCGTATTATGTAAATAAAGAAAGCGATGTCGTAACAATATAGCCGAAAATATGGTAGGAACTGACCAATGTTCGAGGCGCGAGACTGTTAAACTATGATTACCATATATATATATATACATATATATATTATATCATAAAAAAACGACATACATGCATACATAGACCAAACATTTATATAAATTTTCACTACGACGAAACTGCAAATTGATAGTTTAAAATCGAGAGAGACAAAGAGGGGGTAGTCAATTTCTCTAAATACTTTTCTTAAAATTGGAACTTAGAAAGTTACAAATTATTCAGAGAAACTAATCGCTTCTTTCCGTCTTAAACTATCGGTTCCAATTTGACCTAAGAAATGAAATGCTTGTCTTATGTATATATGTCGTCGTCTGAAACTTAAAAACGATGCTTCTGCGGTGACGCACTTCTCAAGCACTCGTGATAACGATCGTATCGTTACTCGATAACGTTGTATCGAAACTCATATCTCTCGTCGTAGATAAAATCGCGAATCACGTCCGCCATTAAATATCGTGAAAGTATTTCTCTAAACGGCTTGTAAGATTAATGTTAAATTGATGGTAGCGTGTTAAATTACGATCGATACGTACTCGGAGCTATCAACGGCATAGTCGATCCGTAGTTATTTTTCTAGTTAGTTTTTCTGTCCTACTTAAAAAGAGACTCGTCGTAAGACCGCTACTTGCGATATATATAATTTGTTACTTGCGACTTGCGTTTATAGAGTTATTGATTTGACGCGACCACTTTGCCATGTCCTAAAGTGGCAGAAGCTTTTGTAGACGATCAGTATTTATACGTTGAAAACTGAGACATGTTGATTAATTTCTAAAGTTTTAATGAGTTTGTTACTTCTTTTTTTTTTATTGAGAGACTTCAAGTCCGATTCAGTTCTTTTTTTACGTACACGTTATGTAAACTTTATAGTTGACTTGTAGTAGTTATTTGATGTTTTAATCGTTCAATTGTTCCTATATAGAGAGGATGTAGAGAAATTCTATGTACTAAACTAGTAGACTTGGCTAGTCGAGCGTACGTAGTATCGAGGTCCTTTTCGACTTTTACACTGTCTACATCATATTTTTTCGTTCTTCCTAAATAGCTAGATACTGCTTTCGAACTCGCCTAAGCAGCTTTAAGTCTCAGATGGAGTAAAGCTGAAATCGTAGGGCCTCGTGCTATGCTCATTACGAATTTTACCATATTATGTGTTTCAGCGCGTAGCGTTATTTATTATATAAATTTATTATTCGTTCGCTTATTAATATACAATTTCGGATACTCCTTTTGCATTGACACTACGATATTGTACCTCGAATTTAGTAATAGCTAGAGACCAGCGTGTATAGATATTCGAAGGAGCTTTTGTTCTGTCGATAGATAATGGGGTTAAACGAGACCATGTCAAGGCAGTGGTTTTCGTTTGCGTATAGTACCACGTACTGACTTTGTGCGTGTATCACAATTTATATGTATTCGGCGTAGCGAGAACAAATGTGTAGGCAAGGTAATACTGCGAGCAACAATGCGAAGTGAAAATCGTGGTGTAATGTTATCAAAATGTACAGGATTCCTATTTCGACTGTATTATCTTTTATAGGCCGATATATAATAATTTGAAGATGAGCTTTTCATAAAATGGAAGGAAATCAACTTTTACTTTCTGTGGTTCAACGCAGCGATTTTCATTGAGCAACTCTTGTGTATTACATATCTTTTATACGAATTTTCGTCTCGCCGTTTAAAGAAGAAATTGTCCTTTTAATAATAATTTTAACATCGTATTTATTCGCATTATGTTAATCTTTTTGCTTCTGACTTTTCCTCCGAAGTTAGAAACACGTTTTAATTAATTTTAATATCCATTAATAGTTTAGGGATATCGACTTCAACGGCCGCAAGATAATATAGTGAAAATGGGACATACCGTATACGTATAAACGACACACAAACACACACACAATATAAATACAGGTGTTGATATATTATAGATTTATATGTATGCGTGTTAGAAATCGTTCTCGCGGCTTTTCACACAATGAAGGGAAAAAGTGCGTTGGCCTGTACATCGCGACTTTGCGATCGCTGTGGGTGAGAATATACATAAGAAAATATATCGAGAGCTTCTTAGATAAAGCTAGGGAACAACGTACGGCTCTATCTCCTGTCTTTCTTTCTCTCTCATTTCTCCGCGGCCTTCGTGCGAAGAGGAGGAATTGAGGTCTAATATTGAAGCTCGTAGATATTCAAGCTCCACCATCGATCGATATCCGCACTTGTTTCTCCCCGATCGTGTTGGGAATCGCGTACGAATAGCGTGGAGCAAGATAGACGGAATTTTAGCGCAATTTGGATAGATCGTTTATTATAGACGCGTTAACGGCCCGTTAGATGACAACTCAAACTAGCGCGAATAAGCTCAGGTCATGAGAAGCTTCCTGATGTTTAGACCTTAACGATGTTAGACACTTAGTTACGAGATTCGACGGCACGTTCGCCCCCTGCCACGAAACAATTCTTCCCGTCGCGTTGTTTGTTGTTTTCCTGTTTCATATCGTTGTACATATAGCTACGTAAGAGCGTCAGGGATCAGGAAACCGGTCACGATCTCGTCGAGTTCGGACTCGTGGAGTCTTTGCTGATATCCTTAGGTCTGCTCTTTTTAGTTGATGGCTTCTCACACGGTTCATCTTTTTTTTTCCACGTGGAAAGAGAAGGAGGAAAGATGAGAGGATTGTGCGAGAAACGGCTAAAAAGCACAGACCGTTCGCTCGCGAATAAATAGATCTATTCTTTTTAGCTGAACTTCTTGCACAATTCATTCTCCAAAATGGATAGAAAAGAAAGAAAGATGAACCGTGCAAGAAGTTCAGCCAAAAAGAACAGAACCTGATGAGACTCGGTGATCGGTGCAAAATGTCTTTGGTTTCTTTTCCTTTTCTCTTCTTTCGTTCACGATATGGGGAAATTGAACTCGCCGAGATCACGCCGGTTTCTAGTACCCAGGCAAAAATTGACCAGGGTCGGTAATTAGGCAACCAGCGTAATTTCTACGTGAAACGCGAGAATGAAGGCGTTTAGTTGTCGCTCGGCCGTCTGTGAGGAATGGTGCCGTCTTGCCGGCCGGTTTACTCGTAACACACATCGCCGCTTATTTTACATGGACATACCGCTTAGATAAGCAATAGGTACGTCTACTCTACGCGAAGAGAAAGATAAGATGATGGTGCAAGCTCGCGCGTAG